GTACCTTAAAAGTAGCTTTACCTTAAGAATTTGTAATCTGATTGGTCACAGCTCAAAGCGATGGAAGGAAAGAAGGAGAGAAGGTAGGAAGGAAGAAGGGAAGGAAGGAGAAAAGAAAAAAGGAAACAGACACAATGCTATGTTCACCTAATGTTACGCTGAATTTCTCTGGCAAACATAGGAATGAATATCAAGGAAATGCTAAAGACAACAACATTACATATAAAAATGGATATGTATATTTATACATATGTGTGTAGTCATAAATGTATATGTACATATATACACATATATGTTTATGTATGTGTATATATAAAATTTTATAAGCTAAAATAGCTCTTTAGAAGAACCATAAATGTATTTCTTATCATGTTCAGGTGATATATATGAGCAATTAAAAAAAGAGGTTCACCTCATACATTGTTGGTGGGATTGCAAACTGGTATAGACACTATGGAAAACAGTCTGGAGGTTTCTCAAAAAATTAAGAATAGATATACCTTTTGACACAGCAATTGCACTTCTAGGTATTTATCCAAGGAAAACCAAAACAATAATTCGTAAAGATCTATGCACCCCAATATTCATGGCAGCACAATTTACAATAGCCAAGATATGGAAGCAAGCTAAATTCCCATCAACAGACAAGTGGATAAAGAAGTCATGGTTCATATATACAATGGAATATTACTCGGCCATTAAAAAAATGAAATCCTACCATTTGCAATGACATAGACGGACCTAGAGGTTATTATGCTGAGTGAAATAAGTCAGACAGAGAAAGATAAACGTCATATGATTTCACTTACATGTGGAATCTAAGGAACAAAAAGAACAAACTAATAAAAAAAAGACACACAAATATAGAGGACAATTTGAAGACAGGGGAAAGGGAGGTTGGGGAACTAGGAGAATGGGGTGAAGGGTTAAAAAAGTACAAATTAGTAGTTGACAGATGGTCTCAGGGATGGGGAGCACACACAGGGAATGCAGTGAGCATTAATATGATGGCTCGGTGGAAAACCAGAGGAGAGAAGGAACAATTTAAGGAGATCATTTTATAAACTGTACAAATGTCTAACCAATGTATTGTATACTTGAAACTGATAAAATAAAAAAATAAAATAAAACAAAAGAAGAGATAAAGTGCAAGAAGATCAATCACAAAAACCTAGAGTATAAGACAAATATTTTAATTCTCACAGAGTCAGATAGAGCAATTCTGATGATTTGAGGGTGCAAGAAACAACTTCAGATGAGAAATTTTTTGGTTGTTAAAACTAATATTTCCTAACCAGTCATGTACAAAAATTGGCAATTGTATACAAAATATTCCGTAGGCCAATCAGACACCTTATCTTTCTTATTTTCTCGACTCAACTAAATCATTCTCCTTTCTTAAAAAAAAAAAAAAAAAAAAAAATCCCACCACTAAGTGAGTCCTAGTCATCAGGGAGAATTCAGTTTACATTAATTAAGCGATCCCACTCAGCCATTTATTGACTAATGACCTCATGTTTTACTCATCTTTTCAAAATGCTAGAAGGTCTAGATATTGCCGGCAGAAAAGCCCAGAGATATACTCATGAACAAATTTCTTCTGAACCAGAATTGATCCATCTTTTAATCTAGAAACATTCCTCTCTCCCTCATTTTATAGCAAAAGCTCTGAAGAGCAAGCAATAAACAGAACCCCTGTAGACCCAATTGCTCCACTTAAATAAACAGCGGAAGGACTTTCCTGGCCCGCGTGGTTATCTTAAGAGCACAGGGACTGCTCTTGGTAGAGAAGAAACCGAAACTGCCAGCTCACCCTCTTCCTCAGGTTGTAGGTGAGAATGAGGTTCCGGGAGAAGGAGTGGGAGAAGGCCGTGTAGAATTCCAGCACTTTCTGCAGGGCGTCCCGTTTAATCACATGCAGGTCACAGTAGGTCAAGGCCCTAACGTTGGCACAGGACTGGGCGAGGGTGGCTTCCTTCCAGAACACATCTCCAAACACATCTCCTTTCCCTAAGGAGAGAAATTGGTGGTAAGGAAAATGTCAGGCAGGAGGCGTCCGGCCATCCTCCGGGCTGGCTTCCCCCTGCGTCCCTGGATTGCCGTCCGTTCGGCATTCTGCAGCGTGGGCTCAGAAAAGGGCAATAAGGATTTTAATTTGAACCTCAACAACATGCAGTTTAAGAAACTTGAAAATACCACACCATACACGTCAAGTTGTAACCAGCACCTTTGGGATCATTCATGTCACCGCGGAACATCCTAACCGAAATGGGAACCCCTCCTTTTATTCTTTATCACTCCCATTTTTGCAAAATACCTATCACCTGCGAATATAATCTGTAATTATATTTATTTGTTTGCTTGTTTATTGCGTGTCTCCCAACATGAGAGTTCACGTGTTTTTATCCTTCCACATAACACATAGTAGGAGTTCTGTCTATACGTACAGTCAGAAGGGAAGTGAGGAAGGAAGACAAACTGTGGGTCCCCATTAATAACGGAGAGGTCCCCATTAATATTAGGCTGTCAAGGGGAGGGTGCGGACTCTTCACTGGAGCCGAAGAACAGGCGCGATCTCTGTTTAGGATGGTCCACCTGGAAGAATTCGGGCAAGAGTGAAGTCCATCCCTTCCCATGTCCTTTTTGTGTGGACTCTTTACTGGAGCTGAAGAACAGGCGCGATCTGTTTAGGATGGTCCACCTGGAAGAATTCAGGCAAGAGTGAAGTCCATCCCTTCCCATGTCCTTTTCACAGCCCCGACGTTCATGTTTGTATGGTGCCCCGATCCTCACCCTCTCTCCCACGCCTCCTTCCATGCTCCTCACCCTTGCCAAATGCCTTCTTGGTAGTATAAAGATACGGGCCCTACACAAAAGGCATCTCTAGTATCCTCCATGCCTAGCATTCCATAAGAGTATCTTTCATGTCAATAGACTTATCTCACATAGCCATATTCTGGATCAAACTTCTATCGATCTCCTCGATATATCGATATTCTGGATCAAACTTCTATCGATCTCCTCGATATATCGATCTCCTCAAATATCTGCTTCATACCTAGGGATATCCTTCCGACCTTTCCCAGGGACCAACATTTTAACATATGTCTAATGCAAAGCCAAATCCCTTCCTGGCACAGCCTCTGGTTATAAAAAATGTTGTTTATCTTGCCTCTAAATTTTCAGCACAGATAAACACAAACTTGAATCCCCAGGGAGCCGGAGAGGAGTACGCAGGGGGAAGAAGCAATGCTACAAAGGTAAAAAGTACCTCTGACAACCCTCAGCCCCTGCATCCAGATCAGCCACACTCCACAGCTGGAACTGTGACTCAGTATGATTAACAGGACTAAGGATCGATTAGACTTTCAAGCACCTATCCAGAACTTAACCTTTTCTCAAACACCCAAAAGTGTGATTCATGGGCACAGCCTTCTTTGAACACATGTGAACTGAAAAACAGGTGTAGTGGGCATATTACTGCACAGTTCTCTATGTGTTCGTGAAATAATGTACAGTTCTAATTTATGGTTTTACTGACTCAATATGAGTAAGAAACATGCTTGGAACTCTTAGGTAAATATGCCTTGAAAACTGTGCTATTTAAATTCCCTTACCAGGTATGTGATTTAAGCATCTGTGATATAAGTGGGCTAATTTAGGGCTGAGGCCAGTGGATGGGACTGTTTCTCTCTGCGGGAAGCTACCTGGCTCCCATGGAGATAGGCACATTCAGTGTGTGCTCCCTAGTATTGAGTTCTACCCAACAAGACTGGTCAATTCATTCATACATATGAATTATTCCATAACCTCCCTACCCTGCACCACGATGTCTTTCCTGCCTTTCATATTTATGTGATCGTATTCCTTTAGAGAATGCTCTTCTTCTGACACACATTCTGATAGTCAAAAAACAGACCCCACATGTATACTGCAACTCATCAAACAGCAAAGCCTAATTCCCTTCTCCTTGGATCTGGACTGACTTCAGTCTCTTGCCTTGCCCAATAAAATGTGGCAGAAGTGATGTTCTGGAATTGTGAGGCAAGGTCATGGGAAGCCTTGCAGCTTCTGCCTGAGTCTCTGGGAACACTTACTCGGCAGATGCCCCCTCCTGGAACCCAACTACCATGTTTTGAGAGGAACAAGCCACACAAGAGGTCACGTAAACGTGCTCTGGTGGACAGCCCCGCTGAGCTCTCAGCTGACAGCTAGCCTGTGGCAGTCATGTAAATGAGCCCTCTTGGTCACCTATCCCAGTGGAGCCGTCAGCTGCAGTCCCAGCCAACACTGGACTGCAACCACATACAGGATGCTCAAGTGAGAACCGACCAGCTAAATGCAGGGGTGGTTTGTTAAACAGACATAGATAACCAGAACACACACAATCATAAATTCTAGGCTGAGAGGCTCATGAGAAATTGCTTAATAGGTTACCTAACATTTCAGCAGAACACCATAAATAGTCCCAGCTCTGAGCTGGTACCCCACTTTCTTCCCTGAAAGAATGAGGCAAGAAAGAGCAAGGAGTGGCTCTAACAGGAGCAGATTTTCCTGTGTAATCATTTTGAATAACAATGAGAAATGCAGAATTTACATAACTTGCCATCTCCTATTGGGATATAGTGGGGTATAGCTGAGCCAGAACTGCTGTGAGTTGAAGTGCATTGGTAATCTTGCCTGATTCTTAATAAAATTACTTCATTTAAACAAAATCTAACATACGAACATTATACTTCTCAAACGAATTTGGGAATCATTTTTCTAATTTTGAAAGAACCCATAAAGTAAATTAACAGCTCCTCATGTGTGTTTGAGATATGAATTTATCTGTAAAAATCCAGTTTATAAACAACTCTTTAGGGGCATACCTATTGTTAAAAACAAAGTGCAAGCCTATTGTGGTTGAAACATACCATGAAATAAATAAGTGCATCTTTAAAAAGGCCAACATTCCCATTGTAAAAATGTTTTCCAATCAAAGGTTTTGACAGAAACAATAAATGGAGGGTAGATCTTACCACAAAAAGCATTTCATGCTAAGATAATCGTAATTAATCTGTAGGGTCTAGGAAGTGTCAGTGTTGTCATGATTTGGATCTGATTTTCAATTCAAATTGAAAATTATATAATCTTTCTTTTCTGTTAAGGCTGTATTTTTGGTATAAATTATGTTAGTAAGATTTAAGAATGTGGTATTGGAGGACCTGCCAGATTCAAAACAAAACCAAGACTATTCCAGCAAGTGAGAAATGTATTTATGACACACACAACTTGGGAAAGCTGTCAAAGGGAAAGATACCGAGCATTTGGCGGGCTTCTTGTAAGTTACCCGCATCGCTGGGAATGATGGCTTCCCAAGTCGGCTTGGGAATCAGAGGCAAGGACAAGCCCTACCCCCACACTCATCTCTTGTTTCCTGGTGTGAAATAATGATTCACTGAAGAACAAAAGGTACCCCAATGCAGTTGGCAGTCAAACTACTTGAGGCTATCGGCTTATTGATTTATTTATTACACTGAGGCGCTGGGTGCAGAATGTTAAAATCTAAGGTTCCACGTTTTTAAAATACATTCTAAGTGGATGTTTTGAGCTGGGAGGGAAATAAAGAAAAGAAGGGAAGTAAGGAAAGGCAGTCTAATTAAAACCCCGAGCAAGCATCCCTGCGATAATCACATCCCTGCGATAATCATCCCCTGCCCCCTCCCAGTTACACGCAGCTGTCTTTACTGCACTTGTACTTGCACAGTGGATGCAAACAGCCCTGGAAGGTACAAACACGTGACTGAAGAAAAAACATACGTGGGAGGTGGGACGCGGGACTGAGGTGGCACAGGGAGAGGAAGGGAGATCTCCGCAAGAGGCACAGCATAGGAGAAAGCCAGAACCCTGCAGACAACTGGATTCCATGAAGGGCAGAGGATGGAACAGCCACCTGAAGAGGCTGAAGGGGGAGAAAGGTGGGAGTGGCGGGAGGTCAGGAAGGTTAAGAGGGGCGGATGATCAGGACAAATTCAAGAGGTGCTGGAACCAACCGGGGCCTGGAGAGGATCGAGCAGACTACTGAATGTTAAAGAGTTTCCGGGAGAAAGTCTGCTCTCAAACCGACAACTGAGTTTGGAATTCTCCAGAAAAGGACCTGGTTATTCGAAGGCAACCTCTGAGTGAGCTTTGCAGGCCAGAGGGGGAGAAGGGCAAAAGTGAACTTTTCAGTCGCTTCTCTTCACTATTCATTATGGGCTCCTATCAGGACCACCCGCAGTGGTATCCTGTACTGAGCAAAGCATAATTCTGCAGCTAAAGCCATTATCTGCTGCTAAAATCATCAACGATTTCTAGACTCAAACCAATTAGAAAGAACTCATTCAGTCATTCATGCAGTTTCTTGGCACGTGCTGTTCTAGGGGCCAAGGTATAGCAGTGGGGTGAACTACAGACCCGATGCAGTGAGAGACAGAGGCTCACGATTGTAACATATGGTAGTGGAGAGTGCAGGAGGGACATCAGCTCCGCTCAAGGGCTGAGGGAAGGCTTCCAGGGAGATGTGATGTCTGAGCTGAGACCTGAAGCATGAGTTCAAGTTAAGCAGCACAAAGATGTAGCACAGAGAGGATTCCAGGTGGAGGGACTTGCATGCACAAAGGCCCTGAGGCACAAGATACGGCTCTTTAGCAAGACTGAAAGCTTCTGCCTCTGGGAAACCCCATATTTTGGATTCTCTGCTCCTTCACTCACCTGTAGAGATGAGTATTGCCGGTACATTTTGTAATCCTTTGAGGAAAGTGCCTGGTCTCCTTATTCGGCTGCTAAGTCCCCTAAGCTTCTTCCATACTCTGTACACAGAGTGTGCTCTACCAGCTTTTTGAGTCACTGAATTCACTATGCTGTTGGGGGCTCCACTGGCAGGGCTGAGAGAGGTGCCAGGAACATAACGGGCGGTGAGGGCCAGTTCCCTCAGCCCACGCTAGTGCCTTTATTCCTCCTCCCTGGGGCATCAGGAAATCCTTTTT